ACGGTAAGTCAGTATAGCGTGTGGGCAGGCAGGTGGGTCCAACTGATCATCGGTGTTTATTCTCAGCTGATAGTCAGACTACTGGTTTTCCTGAACCAGTCAGAACTGGTAGAATCCCACTCCCGCCCCCAAGTAAATGTTATGAGAGACTTATTCTCAATATAAATAACTAGCAAGCTTTCACTGGGAGGAGCAGTGGTGGAGGATCCAATTTTTTGTTTAGCTTTCCTCTTTTCCAGCTGAGTTTCCAGGATTTATTTCAGCTGGAAGAAGGAAGAATTGGGGAAGTATTAAGCATCTGCTTCAGGAACATCTGGTCCTACCTGTTTCTTTTAAGTATAATAAGTGGCCCTGGAGAGCCTTAAGGGAGAAGGTGGTGGCATAGAACACCATTCACTGCACAAAAGATACTGTTGTGGCCTTTTGGCCGCCTGCCCTTCCAGCAACCAAGTCAGATGAGGAGGAGGCGTGGGAGTCGGGGCCAGCATCAAGGCAACCTGAGAGCTCCGAGGGGGAAGAGGGAATGAAGTGAGAGAGGGGCAGACAGAGGCAGAGAGAGAGAGGCAGAGGCAGAGCCTGGGTCGTCCATCAGATGGAGAGTGAACAGCCCCCAGGTCTGGAGGTGGCTGATGAGGAAGAGGAGGAACAGCTGGGTCCAGTGCCTGACCCGTAGATGTGCAAAAGGCAGAGGAGAGGAGAGCAGTGGAAATCCATGGGCCGATCCTTAGGACAGAAGTGCCACCACTGCTAGCGAAGCCCCACCCTAGCTCTGGGGATAAAAGGCAGGGGGCAGAGATGAATAGGTGTGGCAGGCAACTATTCATCTCCCTGCTAGACAGACTTGTTAGCCTGCTGTGTGTGGGAGAGAGAGACTTTTTGCCAGAGCTGTTGGCGCTCCTAATAAAGGGAACCTTTGTTTAACTACAGAGGGTTTGTCGTGTTTGGGAGCTGGGTCAGAACAGATACTGTATTTTTCGGATTATAAGACGCACCTAAATCTAGAAGCGAAAAACAAAAAAGGGGGGGGTTGGCTCCTGCATGCTGCATTTTCAGCCCTTTTCGGGGACCTTTTTTCGGTCCCTTTCCAGTCTTTTTTCTACCCATTTTTGAGGCTTTTTTCAACCTGTTTTTGTGGCTTTTTTCAGCCTGTATTTATGGCTTTTTTCGGCCCGTTTTTGAGGCTTTTTCTTTGGCCCGTTTTCGAGGCTTTTTTCGACCCGCTTTGTCCAAAGATTGCAAGTCTTTGTCTGCTATGGTTTTGCATGTCACAGGATTCTAGTTTAAGCCATGGATATCAATGATATTCTGTTGCTTTCATTGAGTGTTCTCTGAGCTTGGTCGCTTTCTTGAAGATGTTTCATTACCCAAGCTAGTTAACATCATCAGTGCTTTTCTTTTGCCTGTATTCTTCAACTACTATTTGGGCTGATTTCTGCAGAGAATCCAACTAGGTGATAGTGGCATTGCATGACCACTGATGATCTTTTGGCCTGATGGTAGCATCTCTTGGGAAAGGAAAGTGCGAATGCTTCAGGTGTTTGTAGAAGACTTGCCAAAATATTGGTCCTTGGTAAAAAAATAGTTTCTGCTCCCCTTTTGGTAACCATTAGAAAGAATTAGAAAGAGATGAGGTAGCTCAGTGGCTAAGCTGCTGAGCTTGTCAACCAGAAAGGTTGGCAGTTCAGCAGTTCGAATCCCTAGCGCCACGTAACAGAGTGAGCTCCCGTTTCTTCTCCCAGCTTCTGCCAACTTAGCAGTTTGAAAGCATGTAAAAATGCAAGTAGAAAAAATAGAAACCACCTTTGGTGGGAAGGTAACAGCATTCAGTGCACCTTCGGCATTTAGTCATGCTGGCCACATGACCACGGAGACATCTTCGGACAGCGCTAGCTCTTCAGTTTTGAAATGGAGACGAGCACCACCACCCCTAGTGTCAGGAACGACTAGCACATATGTGCGAAGGGAACCTTTACCTTAGAAAGGATTTGGGGATCATTATCCAGTTGACCCATTTATCAGCTCCAGCACTCTAGAATAATCTGTTCCTGAAACGCATGCTGTAAAGAATGTCTCTTTAAGACCTATCTTCCATCCTTGTTTTTTTAATAATGATTCCCATAATTTTATTCTCTTAGAAGGTATTCAACATTTCTGTACCTGATTGGTACAATGGGTTGGCATCGATAATTTATTTAATTTGATTCACAAGTCAGTAATTCTAAGCCAAAGAGCCATACGGTCTTCTGTACTCAATAGCTAATTTTTTTCTGTTTGCATTTGAAAATTCCAACCTCGACGGATGTTTTGTGCAACAACCACAGAAGAATTTTGGGGCCCGGGATGGAACGCAAGTCAGCAACTTACATTCTTTCAGACTTCTCCAACTATTTGGAGGAGGAGGAAGAGGAGGAGGAGGAAAAAAACACGGGAATCCCAGACATCGAAATCGATGACCTTTACGCTCGCAAAATAAGTGCTGCTGTATCAGCTGTAAAAGTCTCCTCTCATAAATTTCTCCCTAAGTCTTGGGCTCCGGGTGAAGAGTTACACTGGAAAAAAGCACAAAGGATATCTTTTTCCAAACAGTGGTATAAGGAAATTCAAGGATTCAGGTTTGTCATCTTGCATGCTCTTTCTGCATCCAGCCCAATTTCTAGAAAACCGCATTTGAACTCGTTGGAGTCAATGCACAGAGGGGGAGTCCATTGCTGCCTGGGGCGATCACAGTGAATAGTTTATCCGTTCGTCTTTGCCTATGGTTTCTGTGTGCACTGTTGTTGTTTGATGAAATGGATTGCTGCGCCTAGTTTTTGTGATGGGACTTATTTCCCTGCCTTTTCTCCTTCTCCCGATGTGGGATCCTATACAGTAGCATGGGAGATGCCGAAGACGAAGATGCAAGAGTCCAGCCTGGCCATAGCATCGCGGACAGCTTGGGCATCATCAGATGCCAAGAAGACTCTCAACCCGTTAAGCCAACAGCTGGAATTGCTGCAGGCGAGATGCGTGGCCCTGCCTCTGAGCTGCCAAGGTTCCTACCTTTGCATGAGCCCGACTAGCTGATAAGTGAAGGCATTTTGTGGCTTGCTTAAACGGGGACGTGAAATACGCAAAGCTGTCTTTCTAATACGATCTCTATACCCGAGCATTCGGAATTGATGCTACCAATGTGATCAGGATTGTTGTGTGTCTTCTGGTTGCCACTCCCGTGTCCTTTATAATGGCTGGCCTGCTTTGCTGTTAAGTTATACGTCTCAACCTTTTTTTTTTAAAGAACAGAGCATCCCATTTAACCTTGCTTCCTTGTATGTTTCTGCACCTTTCTAGAGTGTCTGCATCTTTTGGTCTTCCTTTAGTTGAGTGCTTGTTTATTGTGCAAACCTCTCTGGGTTGTATCACTTCAGCAGCTGAAGGTCTCTTTGGATGGGATGTTCCTTAACAGACATTTTTGAAAACCTCCAGCTATGATAGTTAAAGGAGAGGAGAAAACATTGTGATCGTTTTCTCTCTCTCTCTCTCTTTCCTGCATCTGTTTCTGATGTGGACAGATTATTTTTGTTTGTGGGAAGAATTCCTTCACTCGCGTGCCGAAATGAAAGAGCCCAGAGCTGATAAATTTGCCGAGGGTCCTAACCTTCGCTAAGGTTGTGGTCTCCGTGACCGACACCATACTGCAAATCTAACGTGTGTATGTGTATCTTTTATATCTCAGCCAGTTTTTATTTCTTCGAGCCCTGCAAAAATATTCCGAGGACTGTCTGAATTCTGATCATAGAACCAAAGCTGACCCATCGTCAGGGCCTCGTCTCATAACGTGCAGAAAATATAATTACCTTAGGCCAGGCTATGACCAAAGAATCCATGAGCTTAGAGACTTTTATCCAGATCTGGAAAATGATGATTTGTTTGTCCGTAAGACTGGCGCCTCCCACGCGAATCCAGTCGTTCTCCAAGATTTTGAGTATTTCAGGAGGTCTTGTCAACAAAGGCCTCGTGTCGAAGGAGAAATTGTTCTCCAGCCCAGAGATGGGGAAGATGAAATAATTCCAAATTTAGAAAAAGATGACCTCACCGTTCGCAAAGCTCAACTGCAAAAAAAGGAAGTGCCTTTATCTGGGGGCCCCGACAAATACCAGCCTGCTCTTTTCCCGGATCCTTGGACTCTGCCCCCCGAAATTCAGGCCAAATTTCTATGCTTGCTGGAGAAGTCCACCCTGAAGAGTGAGTGTGAGCGGAGGGGAAAAGTCTTATCTCCTTCTTCAAGGCAAAAGAAGGATGATATGTTGACTCGGAAAATGGAGCTGCTCAGCCTAGGAGGTGGTGTGCAATCCAAGAGCTTCTGCCCAGGAACATGTAGCAAGGAAGATATGGAAAAATGGGAAGCCATCCGAGAGGCCAGCAAAACCAGGCATAAGAAACGGCAAATGGTTGAAAGGTCAGCTCACCGCCATGCATGGATCTTGCTTGTATCTGAATATTTGGAAATAGTGCTTGGAAGTGAACCGTGGTGTTTGTTTTTCAACAAAGCATGTCTTGGTGTGGCGTTTAAGCTCAGTGTTCATGTCTTATCTCCATAAGTTCTGTTGTTGCTCATTCAACTGCTCGCAATCCATCCGTCAGAAGTGACAGATCTATTTGTAGATTGTGTTTGTTGTTTTGGAGTGGTGTGGTGGCCTAGAGGCGGAGCTCTCGCCTCACAGTCCAGGAGGCTGTGAGTTCAATCCTAGGTCGAGGCAGATATTTCTCTCTCTGGGCACAATGAGAATATATCTGCTGAACAAAACTCCGCACTGGCGACAGGTGGGGCATCCGGCCAGTAAACCCTCTGCTAGCTCCATTCAGTTGGCCAGACTCCACCCCGCAAGGGATTATGGGTTTGTTAAAAGAAGATGATTGTGTTTATTGTACTCCAAGATTGTGTTTATTGTACTGGTTAAGAATACTGGTTTCTATTGTTAACAAAAAGCTGGGTACCTCTTAGTGTGCAATGACGCTAAAAAACGGATGTATATTTGAAGTCTGTAGTTGAATAAACATAAGCCATAATCACTGTCAGACTTTTTCTCTAAAAGTTCTTATGTGAATCTAAAGCTCTTCCGTATAATATTAAAAACCATTAATGCAGATAAGACAAAAGGAAGATGCATAGACTCCTTTTCCAATTTTATTTTCCCCACAAAGGGCTTCGTGTGTTGCTGCGCAACCTGTAACTCCTTTAATTAGATCTTCAAGTAGAATCTATATTTTGACAATCTGGTTTGACTATGCTTTAATTAATGTCTTGTGGACACGGTGGCTCAGTAGTTAAGATGCTGGAGCTTGTCAATCAGAAAGGTTGGCGGTTCGAATCCCTAGCGCCACATCACAGTGAGCTCCCGTTACTTGTCCCAGCTTCTGCCAACCTAGCAGTTCGAAAGCACATAAAAAATGCAAGTAGAAAAATAGGAACCACCTTTGGTGGGAAGGTAACAGCGTTCCGTGCGCCTTCGGTGTTTAGTCATGCCGGCCACATGACCACGGAGACGTCTTTGGACAGCGCTGGCTCTTTGGCTTTGAAACGGAGATGAGCACCACCCTCTAGAGTCGGGAATGACTAGCACATTTGTGTGCAAAGGGAACCTGTACCTTTACCTTAATGTCTATTAAATCCTTTCAAAATGTGTGCCCCTGGCAACTACATCGGCTTAATATTCGCTTTTTTAAAAAATAGTTTCTATAACACACACACTCCCTCCCCCCCCCAAGCCTTGTTATTCTCTGAATTGTCCAGAATTGTTTCCTCGTTGCTCAGAAAATATGCCCAGTTCCAAATAAGTTGACGTGTTTGTTGATTCTCGAGAGAGGGGAGAAAGGCAGGCAGGCAGGTTTCCACTGATTTTTGTTTTTGATCTCACCCCCCTCCTGTGGGAGGATTTTTCCAACCTTTTCAGAAGAAGTTTGGATTCTAGAGAGCCTCAGGTGCCAATTATTGGCCCCCACCACTCGCCCTGAAGAGACAGCCCTTGATCAACCTTAATGGGGTTTCTGATGTCCATCTGGTAAAGTCCTTCTCGTCTTAAAATGACCTCACCCATTCCATTCTCCTTGCGCCAGTCACGAGTTCTTCTTTAAGCGTTCCGTGTCTTTTGCTCATTGCGTCATTTCAATTGGACCTCATTGTGCATGTTTCATTGGAAAATAAGCATCTGCCAGCTGGTCGTTTTCATAAATTCAAATATTTGATTTAAGGCATCTGTCAGAATAAACGCTCGATCACTCCATCCATGTATCGACTTCTCTGCTGGAAACGGCCAACTGGGCAAGGGGCCCGGCACTGAATTCACGTGGTCTTTCAGCAGTTCTGAAATTAGTAGGTAGTCCTTGACTTACAGCCATTGGTTTAAGCGACCGTTCAAAATTACGACGGCTCTTTAAAAAGTGACCTACAGCCAGTTTGCACACTTACAACCCGTTGTCGCCTTTCCATGGTCGTTTGATCGAAATTTGGGTGCTTGACCAGTGGCATGTATTTATGAAAGTTGTGCTGTCTTGTGTTCATGGGGGTCGCCCTATGTAACCTTCCCAGCTGGCTTTTTGCTAAACAGAGTCCATGGAGGAAGCCAGCTTCGCATAACGACTGTGTGGTTCACTTAACAACTGCAGTGATTTGCTTCCCCCCCCCCGCAACAGTGGGAAAAAAGTTTGTAAAATGGGGCAAAAACTCACTTAACAACCGGTTTGCTTAGAAATGTTGGCCCTATCAAGGACTACCTATATCAGTGTTTCTCAACCTTGGAGACTTGAAATCCTGTGGACTTCAAGTCTCCAAGGTTGAGAAACACTGA